TAATAGCTGCAACCATCCTCAGAATTAGTAATTACAAAAGCACAAACACAGCAATTCCACTTTGAATGACAAAGTATAAACTACTAAATGTGGTGTGGGAAGTTCCGTGTTGTGGAGTTTTAGTTCCTTGATTGTCGTCATCAGTAAGGAGGTTCAGAGAATATTAATAGTTGAGGATCATAACTACACTGATGTAATAAATATCAAATATTACTGTTAAATCCATCTCACTGCCTCTGCAGCACCAGCAGAGCAAACCTATTTTTCATAGTATATTTTAACCCGCACTATACACAGCGTCAGCCTAGACTATGAGCCCAAAATCCCAACATGGGGGTTGAACCCACAACCTTCTCTGACTCAGAGACGAGAGTGCGACCAACTGAGCCAGGCCAGAATTTTGTCTCCTTAATCATCTAGGCCTGATAGTGAGATTATACAATCAGTCTGTGATTTTTAAGTTTAGGGCACACCCAACATTTTCAAGAGATGATTATATACATTAGTAAGTTACAGATTTTCACAATTTAGAAATGAAAACAAAGTCAGAGCGTAAATGTCCCGCTCAGTTAAGGTACATTCAGTTCCGCTTACTGATTGCCCATTCCTAGAGACAACTGGGACAAATCCTCAGCAAACCAGTCTCTGCTGTTCAGGAGAAGTTAGCACTGCCTGTTACTAATGATGAGAGGAAAACCATAGATGTAACAAGCAAAACTACTGTGAACTGCTTCTATTTACTGTCCAATGACCCATGTTTAGTGTGCAAGCATTTGTATGAACTACCAGTTTCACGAGCTGGAGTCAATGTTCTTTACAGCTTGTCATACATACCCAGAGTAACAATGGGACTGTGAGAATCACAGAACTGGACCTCAGTCTGAAAACACCTCCAGATGCTGTAGTGTGGACAGGAAAAGCTCTCCATTTTGGAGCTCACTGGAGAGCCCTTCCAAATTCCTCTAGTCTTAACCTTGAGCTCCCTGTCTTCATATTTAAGGTTGTGAAGAATTTTAAAAATTTCTTAATTTCAGTCTTGATTTGGAAGCTGTTTAAAAGTTTTCTAAAATTCTGCAGAGTCTTAAATATGAAGACAATTGCCTGAGTTGATAATGGACTATATCTATTGCTCCCAAGCCTCTACTTGTGTGCAAAATAGCACATGAAACACACATCACTGTCTGGACACAAAATGATCAAGAAAATCCCTCACTGGGCAGATTTTGTCCGGCAGATTGGTCTTGCTGGTATTTGGCAGCAAATCTTTCAACCTCTTTCCATCATGCTTCATACTCTATTTGTTCTGCATTGACTAGTTGTGTGCACAGTCATTAAAGGGAAGCCATTGTATTACTCTGCTCTTGGCTTGTGAGAAGTCAAAGAATCTCTCACCACTTTTGTGCTGGCACAAGTAGGTATTGAGAAAACAGCAGGATGTGGCAGGAGAGTTGTTTGTGAAGAACAGTGAGTTTCACACGCATAAAGACTGGAATTCCAAATTAACAAAATCACACTTAATAACCACTATAGCTCACTTTATTCTCAGATCAGCTGTAAGATTTTCCAAGCAGCTTGACAAACAATGCACCACCCAAGCTAGGCGTCTACACTATAAAAGGACAACAAAACAATAAAGAATTTTCAAATGTTTTATTTTTGTGCCTTTTGCTCGTGTTATAGAATCACAGAATGTTACCATAGAAAAGAGCCATTTGGCTCATCAAGTCCGCGCTAATGTTTTTCTTCACATGAACCACCTAATCTAATCCCACTCTTCTGTTCATTTCCCATATCCTTTATAGAGGCAGTAGAAGGCCACATTGAGAAAAAAAAGGATATTTTTCTAGTGGTGTAAAGTCAGATTAGATGTAGCACTCCGAGATGCCGTCTGGTGTGAAGGGTGCTATATAAATGCACGTTGTTATATTCTCTTCAAACCACTACGCTTTCCTGCTGGAATCCATTACAAGCTGCAACATTACTTACGCCTCAAGTTTTAAGTTTTCAAAGGCTTTCTCACACTCACACAACATTTGATAGTGAGGCAATGGAGGCACAGAATCCTTTCAACAGAAAATAAATACATCCAAGGAGATTTTGAGAAAAAAACAATCTGAAACTTTTAGTAAAGGTAGGAATTGAACAATAGATAACTGAGAGTAAGTTGCGGGTTATTAATCTAGATACTCATTTATGGAAATTACAGTCCTATGTTAAGTTGCTATTATATCGTTGATGAGTGCAGTTGAGGGTTTGAAGCAGGAAATCTCAGAATTTGAATGGAAAAATGCCAGCATTACATGCTGATTAGGGAAGTATCTTTTCTAATATGATAAGGTTTACAGCACAAAGGAGGTTATTTAAGCCCATTTTGTCTGTCCTGCTGCTATTTCCCCCATTGGAGCCAGCTACTCTGATCCCATTCCACCTGCTCTTTCCCTGTGTCCTTTAAATATTTTTTTCAGGTATTTATCCTTTTTAAATACTGTTAAATAATTAAACTTGCAATGTTATAAACCATAATATGTTTTGTCTATCCAGATCCCTTTTTCCTGAGTCTTGAGGTGTCAGTAGATACTTCATACCCTTCTTTGGGAGAGAGCAAGTTCATGGAAGCCCAGCAAAGTTAGATAATGGCTAAAGAAATCCTGTAGTCCTGCAGCTCAGAGGTTAGAGACTCCCCTCGCAAGCGAGAGCACCTAATGGGTTTAATGCCCAGGCAGGGCGAAATGTTGGGCAAGTTTTCTTACTCCACACGCCTCGGTTTACCTAGCAGTAAATAGGAATCTGGTTGTTAGTCGATTGGCGGATCGCTTTTAGAACACTGACAGCCTAAGATAAGAAATTATTAAATGAGTTGAGGCTCAGCAGCTCAGTTTATTTGACACAAAAATGGAGGAAATGGTCCCTGGTGATTCAGAAAGCTCATTCAATAGGTATCTGAGCCACACAAACCAAGGAGGTCTTTGATCCCTTTGATTTGATCCCTGGTCTGACCTTAGGTTAGCTCAGCCGAGGTGGCTGTATGAACTCCACAATTTCCTCAGTGCCCTCAGGTTAAGGAAGGGGAATCAGCCAGGCTTCCGGCACTCACTTGCTGTCTCGTCATCCCTTGCTGGAAGTACAGATGTTGGGTAAAGGGCAGGATCGGGCTCAGCTGTGATATTTCTCCCCTGCCTCTCCCTACACTCTGCCAAATAACTCGCTGCCACTCAGGCTCAAGGCTCTCACATGAATAATTGCCACTTACTTTTTTGAGATACTACAGGGCACCAGTGGAAGTGTACCTCACTAGAAGGAAAATGAATCAATACAGAAAAATTCAAACTGGGTCTAGATTTATTCTATTTATGTGGCATTTTAGAAGATCCATAATTTGGAACATTATTCGATTCAAGCTTGAAGTCTTGCCGTTTTGTAAATTAACTTGCAGAAAACTGGCTTCAAAATTAAAGCTATATTTAAGAATTTGCCAAGTTCTGGATGTTCTGAAACCCTACAGAAATAGACCCAGTTGAAATTTCTCCCCTCAAATGTCTTCAAGAGAGAGGGAAAGAAGCGGAAATGTATGCAATAAACAAGCAATCTTTTTCATGAATTAATTACCGAATTGAGGTCACCTATAATTCTCCCTGAACACACATGGTATTTGCACATGGTTTATTATTACCCAATTCCCCCCACCCCCACCACCCCGTCTATTGTATAATTTTTTACACTCCCCCCTCTAGCTTCTCAGTCTAAATTTAAGAACATTTCAAGGTAAAACTGCAAAACTGAGTAGCGTTGGATTAAAAGATTTAAGAAAAGAATTCCAACCTGACAGCTCATGCTTCTTGCAGACTGTTGTAGTCCCACCTCCCATCTTACACCATTCCACCATTGTACCCAAAGTCGGAATGTGAATCCGGTTCTTTGGAAAACACAGAGGAATGTGCTAAAAGGAGACTCATTCATCCCAGTCCTAAATATAGGTCATGAAAGGATTGAAGCAGCTGAACTAATTCTGTAAAGGGCACAACCCACAGGTGATCAGGAAATGTCAGTATACACTCAAACATTCCTCGAACGAAATATCTTTATTTCAAAGCAGACGACGCTTTCTGCAACATTACAAAGTGGTGAATTAGCATCCCAGCACAGATTTATACTGCATTGACATAAAAGGACCTGCAGACAGTCTGTGGTTGGAAGTTACCCAGACAAGGGCTTGGGAACTCAAATTTATTTATTTTACTCTTGTGATCACCTCTGCTACAAACCTAAAGTAAACCTCACCTGTTCTCAGCAACACGCACAGCAACATGGGCAAAGAAAGAATTATCATCTTCAGACTTTAATTTTCACTGAAAAAACAGAATTGTCTGCAATTTTTCACTTCAACAGGTTTGCAGCCCAACTTGTGAACAATAACTCTTGGCAAGGACCTCATTTTGGCACCTATGCCACTAAACACCTCATAGCAGGAAGCCAAGTTTCACCTACTGCAAATAAAGGATTACTGCATTTTATAAATCCCATTACTAAACATACCATTTCCATTAAATTTGCTGGAATTGTACAAAGCTATCCGGGATTCTTATAAAGGGAATAAGGTTGAGTCCTGACTTCAAACTAATAACATACTGCTTCATTGCCATGGCCTAGTGAGGACTGTGATTCCAATGAGAAGTGGATTTTATCCCTATAGACAGGTTCTACAATTTTTGGAATAAAATCCAACAAAGGCAAAGCATGACTGGGCATATTACAGCAAATAAGACCTGCTCCCCTCCGATTTGTGGAACTTTCTTCATGTTGATTTATTTCAGTACCATCATCTCCAAATTTAACTTCTAAGAGGCAGAACAAGATTCTTCTGGGTCCGGAGACATTATGTGGACTGGGTCCCTGTCAGACTTAGAACTGGGATATTCCTAATTTGGGCGAGCATCGTTGGGGCATTCAACAGTGGAATGAATGAGAGATCCGGTTGGGTGTGCGTGGAGCTCAGTACTGACCTGGGTTGGATTGTAGAGCTCTTGTAAAGGACTCCTCGATCCTTTCCTGCAGCAGATGTCTACCCCAAATGGCGTCCGGCGCATCACTGCCAAAACAAAACAAGAGATATCCGTCACTAGTAATTAATCATACTATCAGTGAAATGAAATAGGTGTAGCAGTGGTTTAGTGGGCTAGATACAATCTAACTTAATTTGTCAGTTTCTTAGAAATGCCTTGCCATTAGGAACTGGACTGAAAGCAGGTGGTAACTGTGTAGTTTACCTGTACAAAGCACCGACAAGTTCCGTGGTATTATCCAGCTAGGACTTCTCTGTCCATTATGGCTTTGGAGTACCACTCTGAAATGCTACATTAATAAAATAAATCTAAACCTACATGGAATTTCTCCCCTCAGATGTCTTGAGGAATACCACAATTTTGACCTCATTATTGTTTTAATATTTTTTTTCATATACAGGGGCTATAGTTCGGCTAGAGTCTAGAGTTCGGCTCTGGAACTCTATCCCCCAGTGCCTTCGCCTTGCCTCCTCCCTTTCCTCCTTCAAGGCCGGTCTCAAGACCTTTCTCTTTGACCGTGCCTTCAGCTCCCCTCTCAACTCTCTACCCCCTCCTCGCTCCCCTCCCTTCCCTCCCCTCACCCTGACCATTTCCCCCCTGCTCGGGTCCTGACCCAACTGTACAGCGTCTTGGGACGTCCTCCCGACGTGAAAGGTGCTCTATAAATGGAATCTTGTTGTTGTTGTATAAAGTCAAAACGTCTCAAAACCATTCACAAGTAATTGCTGTAAATGTAGTGACTGTGCATTTGTAGGTAAATGTGCTAGAAAATTTGCGCACAACAGGTCTCACAACCGGCTATGGAGTAAATGACCAAATTTTCTGGAGGATCGTTGATCAAAACACATGGGAAGTAACTCCCTTTATTACTAAATTAATCTAACAAAACCACGGAGCTATTAATACTGCAACAGTAGCATTAGAGTTCCAACCACTGATAATCTAGAGAGTGTCTTGAAAATTTAAACACATTTCTTTATCAGCTGGGGAAATCTGACTGCTCAGTATAGTGGTTCCTTCAATCTATGATTAGAATACCGTAACTACAGCATAAGTAATAGGACTGTGGCTTAAGAGGTCTTTTGCCCCTATTAAGCTCCTATGTTTGTCTGTCAGAATTCCCTCCGGTTTCTGGCTGCCCAGCTAGTGAGTCGAGTAGTTATTTGCCAGCAACAAATAATGTTGTCAAAATATCAGATTGCAGATCTATTGACTGACTGCACAAGCCACTGTAACACTTGTAAGAGGGCACCAACAGAAAGTAGATCAGCAGAAATCTCAGTGCTGTGGATCCTGGAGAGGAATGGATTTCTGAGACTATACAGTCATTTGGAAATAGGAAATAAATAGCAAGGGGAAAGCGACAGACAGGCAGCAGTAGGTGAAGGTGTGTGCGCAGCTTACCTCAATCATGAGGCAAAAAATGAATCGAAACAGAGGAGACAAAAGTCACCAAGAAATTCATTTTCAGTGTGAATGCCAATAATTCTCAGGGTTTGAAAGTGCCAGCAGCAGACCCCAGCAATATACTTGTGAAAATAAACATTGCAGCTTTTAAGACTGATCTATCGTACGGTTAAAAACTCCAAATCATTAATTCTTTCCACAGCCGATGATGTTAAGCTCCCAGAGCATTTCGCCCTCGCTGTGCTACGGTTTAATAAAAGATTAGTTTTGGGTTTCTTTGGAGACACGTTCAAGCTCCATATGGTTTCCACAATTAAACATTTCTGACAGTCAGTACAACAAGCATCACAGATGTTATAGCAGAGAGAAAGTGAGCTTAGTTTAAGCGGCTGGAAAGGAAATTTAGTATCATAAAAACGGATTAAGGTTTGGGATTTATAGTTTTCAATTCTAAAAGCAATTTAAAGTGTACAAAACTGTTCAAGTGTCACTGAATGCCGGTTTTAGAACTTTGTTCATCTGTTGACAATATGAGTACTGCAGTTCATCTCTTTAGGTAGGGCTCATTAATCGTTGTCATTTACTCACAGCCCCATTTATTATTTACTACCTTCCTTTATAGCAAAGGTACTCTTGGATCAAATATTCCATCTATTCTCTTAGAGAGAGCATTCCATTTGAACGCATTCTCTGCATGCTGTGTTTGAGCTCACCAATCCTTCATATTACATAAGTGGTGAACGCAAATGGGGAATCAGCCTTGCGCTCCGTAACCCTGAGCAATTGCTGCCCGTCACTTTCACAAAGACAAAGCTCGCGCATGGGTCATTGGCAGAGCTGTTGGCAACAGTTCATCGGCATTCATGTGACAGGATTCCAGACGTATATTCAGCCGAGAATGCTAAGCCAATGTGCAGAAATCACTTCTCTGCCTTCCCTCACCCCTACCCCACCCCTCCCCCATGCTCGGGTCCTGACCCCTGACTGTCCAGCGCCTTGGGATGTCCTCCCGATGTGAACAACAACAAGAAGATTACATTTGTATAACGCCTTTCACGTTTGAATAGACGCTCTATAAATGTAATTTTGCTGTTGTTGTTCATTCATTTGCACATATTAACACCCTCCTGAGCTTATTAGAATTAATGATCTTAAGTCAGTAAAACCCAACATACAAAATCGGTAATCAAAGAAGGTGACGGCTGGACCAGCCCCTATGTTACAGCAGCACCTTGGGAAATCAAAACAGGATGAAAACTGCCTCCCAGAAAGGCTAAATCCTCTCCTTGTCACATTTGGAGTCTGCGAACATTATTATTCTGTAATCAACTTTTGTCTCGGTGATAGTGTATGAACAGGGATTAACTGGGAGATTGTTTTAAAGAGCAATATCTCTTCACATCCTGAACAAATCCCCTTGGCAGCTTTGAGTGTATTTCTCTGCCGGTAAAGTCAGTGTCTAAGAATCATGCTTAAATTCGCGAGGCTTTACACTCATCGATTGAGTTTTTTTAAAAAAATTGGACGGGAAGGTAATGAAAATGATGTCTTGAAAAAACTGCCAGCCATTTGCCCTCATATACAACAACAGCAATTGCAATTAGATAGCATCGCCCTTCATGTAAGGTAGCGTCTCAAATCGCTAAACAATGGTGTAATTTGACACGTAGCCAGGGAGAAGGGAAGGTGATTGTAGGAACAATCGAAGAGGAAACTCTTGCGGTGAAGGTCAATACACCTCACAGCAAAAATCTTGTGAAGTGCCTTTAAAACGTTTAAAAGGTGTGATAATGCACAATGTCAAATGCAAGGATTATTATTATTTAACTCCTTTTTCCTTTTACTGGGGTAAAATTCCATGGGTCAATGTCCTCTAGTACCTCACGCAAGTGACAATTATCATGCATAAACCTTGACAATGAATCTTATCTGATGTTCACACATGCACCACATGTAGCAGAACTTGCTGGATGGTGAACTAAAATCGGAACACAAACTGATTTTTCCCCCCTTTAACCCAGACCGATTGTAACACCTTATCTGCTGCCCTGTCTGAGATCAGGCGAGATCAAGCATCAAACCTTCTCAGTCTTTATAGCTCAGCCACCTCACTGAATAGACTAGCTGAGCCATTGAAGGAGCCCGCAAACAAACATTTAATTATATATGAGCTAGACTTGCTGTCTTTTGTGAGAAGAAAGACAAGTTCACAGTTTTACTGCCATGGATCCGGGTCTCAACAATCCAGCTTGAGGCTCCAGGGCAATAACTGAGAGAGGGCTGCATTATTGGGAGTCCCTTCGCCTCGCTTCCTCCCTTACATCCTTCAAGGCCGGTCTCAAGACCCTTCTCTTCGACTGTGCCTTTGGTCTCCCTCCTAACTCTCGGCCTTCCCTCAGCCCTACACCACCCCTCCCCCATGCTCAGGTCCCGACACCTGACTGTTCAGCGCTTTGGGACGTCCTCCCAACGTGAAAGGCGCTCTATAACTATAATTTTGTTGTTGTTGTTGTTGAGTGCCACCCTGGAGTGTCCAGTGCAGTTACTAGGGAACTGCTGCTTTGCCAGAGGTGTCATCCAAGTCTCCAGTGCAGTTACTGATGTTGCTCTGCATTGCTGCTGCTTCAACCCTTCAGATGAAACGTAAAGCTGTACTTGTATTCCGGGTAGATGTTAAACATCCAAAGGCATTATTTTAAATGAAAAGGAGAGAGTTCTCCCAGTGTCCTGCCACACTACTCACTCATTGGAATTCACGAAAAATACACATCAATTGGCCATTCATCGCCTTGCTATTTGTGGAACTTTGCACCGCCAGATTAGCTGCCGTGTTTGCCTGCCATAACAGCAGTCACTATACTTTAAAGTAAATCATTATGTGAGAGCTTTGAGATGTTTGGAATGTTATATATCAAATGTAAGTATTCTCTTTCCAGAAGGAAGCTTTTTAGTTTGGGAAGAGAGAGCGAGCTTCCTGATGGCATCACTTATTATTATCATGCAGCACTGAATGTAAACTCAAATGCCTCAGCTCATTAGCACATAGCTTTGAAGAGCTTGGTTCAGTTAATGTAGATATCAATAAACAGCAAGACAGCAACAGTAATTATCCCAAAGGCTCCAAATGTTAAGGAGATAAGAAAGATGATATCAATCTTACAAGAGCAATATAAATACTGAAGAGTAAGACTAATGACTTATCATTTCGTTGCACAGTAAGCCATTACTGAACGAAAGAGTTGTTCAGTTTGAATTAAATTAAAATGAAAAATGCAATAGTATTACAGCAATGCACAATAGCTTTCTAATGCCGCCAAATATAGAACTAGATCTGAGACAATTAATGTCCTCCAAGGGGTGAATTTCACATTTATCTGATATGTGATCAATGTGAAATTCACCCCTTGGAGGACATTAATTGTCACAGAAACTAATGATTAGTGCAAGGATCATGTGAACTGATAATTTCTCCCCTCTCCCCCCACACACACACAATTTGGAATTAAAAAACTACATAAAATCAAAACAATCCGTCAATCAGTGCCAAGTGGCCTGGAAGAAAACACCTCGGCAACATATCGTTTATATAAGTACATGACATACTTGCTTTGTATGAGCA